TATCTATACCATCTGCCTTTTCACGATATGTTTATATTGTCCGCGTTTCCTATATTTACTTTTATTTAATATACAAGTGTCATGTGCATGATTAAATTAAATATACAAGTGCCTGGTGTATGATTAAACTAAATAAATAAGTACCGTGTGTATATACAAGTGTTACGTGCATCCACAAGTGGCACGTGGAAACTTTAATAAGTTGACTGTATTTATAGCAAAAAAAAAAAAGATTTTTTTTTTCAAATCTATAAAGATACTGAATTTAAAATACCTTTTATAAGTTACGATAACTTTATTATATACATGTACATGGTAAGATGCATACTTTCAAATTTATGACAATTTTCTTAACGCCCACTTTAACAGCAATTTAAGTTGTATAGTTGACATTACTATCTAGCAATATCGTCTGCTTTTCCCCCTCTATATATATTTTGTCAGCGATTTCCCAATATATTTTATATTGTGCGGCAAATGCATATGTAAAGAGTCGCCACGTTTATGTGTGAACACTTGTCCGTCTCAACAACTGTTAAGTCAACTCAACTGTCCCAAAACTTAAAATATTAAATCATATAAAAACAAATGTCCTTTTAAAAATTATATTAATTACACTTTACTACTTCTTAATACTTACAAAATAAATATTATTCATCCGCATGTGATTACTACTTCATAACGGTCATTTTCTCTCTCCATTATTTCACATTATTTAAAATATAAATAAATGATGAAATTCAATGTGCGATTTTTAAAATTTTTTATTTACTTCAGCAATATAATAAGTTAAAAAAAAAAGAAAACAACAACAAAAAAACAAACAAAAAAACATAAGACGTGTTAAGAATGAGGTAATGGACCCCATCGATAGAGGAAATACGCACCCAACTGTGTGTAGAGGATATTGAATGAGTGTAGTTTAATACTAAATTTATTGAACGAGTTGAATAAAATCATATTATGCGAGCCTCTGGCGAGCATAATATTGTTTTATTCAACGAGTTCAATAAATTTAGTATTGAATCTACACGAATATAATATTCTATTTATCACATATATAAAATAAGAACAGTAATTTTTTCAATGACGCGCCTATAGTGTAACGCTAACATTTGCGCGCTTTAACGCTATGTTTATATATAGCGCAAATGACGTCACGTCAAAGTGTTATTACACTAGTGTAATATCGTTTTTATTAAATGGCTTTATTACACTCCTGCGCCGCGGTTTATGTGATAAAACGTAGTGTTATTTTAGTGAATGCACCCAACTGTACGACGTAGTAACATTTTAGTGAACGCGCCCAACTGCACGACGTAGAAACATTTTAGTGAACGCGCCCAACTGCACGACGTAGACACATTTTAGTGCACGCGCCCAACTGTACAACGTAGTAACATTTTAGTAAATGTCCCCCAACTGTACGACGTAGAAACATTTAAAGTAATGCACCCAAATACACAACGTATAGTAACATTTTAGTGAATGCATCCAAAAATACAAAACAGTGACATTGTAGTTAACCTCTCCGCCGAAGGAAGTGGCAACAGTGTTGTGAACGTATCCAACAGTAAGGTGAAGTTCATTGTTGTAAACGCACTCCATTGTAAGATGAAGTAACAATGTAGTAAATGTACCCACCTGAGGACGTTGTAACTGTGTAGAACGTAAAAAATATCTAGATAGAACGTGATCCCTTTGAAGCATTAAAATAATCAAAATATCATGCAAATTACAAGACATTTATAAATTATACATCGTGGACTTTTAAGAGAAATTTTAAATATATAAACTTGTTAACATAGACAAATTCTTTATGTGTAAAGTCGTAAAAGTGATTTTCTCACACGTCTACAGTTTCAATATTTTAAATAAATTTTTTGTAAACCCGTTTTATGACTTCATATAATATACCGTGTCGTCCGTGGTATAAAACATTCGTCAGGTAAACTAGTAAGGACAATTTAAATTATGTGCATATAGAGTAAATCTTGCACAGTATCTTCTATTGAAGGTGTAATGGAGTTGTCTCTTATTTCAGCAAGTGTATTCATAAAATAGCGATGATGTGTAAGTAAGATATAAAGAACAAAAAAACAGAAAACTGGTGTGTGCGTAACAGATTGGAACTCATGAGCATCTTACAGTTTGAGGATTAAAATGAAACGTATGTAATTCATTAACATTAAAAATAATGGACTGAACGATTTTTTTTACATAAATGGGCTGGAAAGATTTTTTTTTACTTTTTTATGCAGGTCTATACTAATTTGTGTGCAAAGTATTTCAAATAATTTGTTATAATCATTTTTATTGTACAAAGTGACTACATTGTAACAACGAAAAACATGTAGACGCATTGTTTTCTCATAGACTAAGCAATTTACCAAGCTGACCTGTGCTATGGAGCTCTTTTAATTCTCATAAAATGCATGAACTCTCCTTTTTTTGTATTCAGATTTAGTTTTTGAACCGGCACACATTGAACATGAAGCTTCACCATCTTTTGCTTGCTGGCCATTAATCAAGTAATAATGACTTAATTAGTTGATTTGTATGAAAGACAAAATTACCCTTTATTAACGAGGTTTTACTTAATTTCAAATTAGACACTGCTCCGCATCTAACATACTTTAAATGTTTTTTTTTCTTCAGAAAAATGTCGCATTTATTCCGACGCTTAAAATATCTTTAATTCTCTCTCCACATTTTAGAACATGAACAAAATGCACTAATTGTAACATTTATAGAAAAGTATTATGATTAATAAATTCGATTAGTTTATTTTGTTTGGTTTTACACACCAACATAATTTAGGTCAAATGGTGCCTAAGCAAAAATTTAGATGATTTTTGGAAACCTCATCGATTGAATTTCCAAAAACATGATATTTTTTCGTTTTCAGAAAAATTAAAACAAATCTTACAGTATCATATTTTGTTCTGTCTTAAAATTAGGAGTTCAGACATAAAGAGCAGTACCTATCCGTTACATTTAAAGAGAAATACGAGTTGTGAGAAAAGTTGTCTTTACCAGTGCAGTCCGAATAAACATTTTTATATTTTGGGAACCGTGCTCCAGATCACGATATTTTTTCATGATTTTTTGACATACTTCACTTGATAACGGAGATGATATACCACGATACTCATGCCGAATTAACAGAACTGCTTGTATTCTGTTTTTAGAATTAAGTACATATCTGGCGATTAAAAAAAGTAAGATTTTAAATTAGAGGTCAACTTTGATCTCAGTTATGTCATATAAACATAATTATGTGATGTTTCATAAAATCCCTTCTTCATACGAACATTTTCCAACATTTGCCTATCTATTCAAAATATTGTTTATGCTATGAACTTGTAACAAAAGCTGCTAGCTGGTGAATTTGTGATAGATCACATCCGTGATGGGCCTCTAGGTAAACCAGTTAGAGGGTGAAATAACCTTGTATATTGTAAATTCGATGAAGCGAAATGGGACACTCTTTGTACGCAGAGGTAAGAATTTAAATACCACGCATGTTTATCACGATTATAAGGTTACCTGAAAGAGGAGTAATATAGTAGTTTAGACTGGATTCGCATATTTAATGATTGAGATACACACATATTTTCAAATAATGTGATTGTGATAATAGAACCGTGTCTTAAACACATTTTGCATGGCACGATCATACATCAAAAGTTAAATTGATGATCAATATTGAAAGGCATTGTTAGCCCGGTTTGGGAAAGATGTGTTTAAACGCTTGTCAGAACAGAACATATACTTTATTTAGAATGACACAGATTACAATATACAAGTATAAAGTCACAGTCTCACTTACATCCGGGCAGAGCCCCGATAGACGTCCGGGGTGATCCGGGGCATGATATAGCCGGTAGAGCTACGGCAGAGCCCCGGTGAAGGCCGGCAGAACCCTGGAAGATGACGATGGAGCTATGGTTGATCCCGGTAGAGCCCCGGCAAAGCCCCCATTTTAAAAGCACGAAGCCGGTTCATTTCTGTAAAAGCATAAAAAAAAGAATTGACGAATGTATAATATAGCCGCGTGATTTTATTGGATAGGGAAAATCATTTGCGATGTCATGATAAAACACAAACAAAATTTGCGCTTTGTATTAAAACCCTTCCCATATTTTTCAGGATATATGGTTGTGCTATGTTATCCACTATGGACGTTACTTCTGCTTTTTGTCCTATATCAAAAGCAGAAGAAGAATATAATCTTCCGAAGATACAAGATGTCCAAAAATTGTCTGTTAACCTGTTGATGAACTATAGTAAACATATTATACCGTCGAGATGGAGGAGTTGCCATTCAATATAATCAGTTGTAACTTATCTTGATACACTCGGAAATATTGACGAAACTAAGAAGAAATGTTATCCTATGTCTTTTGGCTATGTGTATTCCGTATGTATTTCGTTACAATTTTTTAATTCATTTTTATGAAATTATGATATAATTAAACTTAAATGGATCCTACTCAGGTCATAAATAACATACCGTAACTTTCCTTTATTTATTAATGTAAAACCAATACATGTTACATGGAACTTGCCAGTGAATTTGTCCAAATTGTTTTGTAAACATTAAAGAAAAACACATGTGTTTTTTTAACAGATAAGAACATTTTTGATTCCAGGTTAGAACATTTTTGATTCCAGTAACGTCTCAATATTATATATTAAAATCATTTTGAACCAGTACAAGAATTGAATATAAGAGGCCGCGCCATGACACAAATTGCGACCAGCATGGATCCAGACCAAACTTTCCGCGCCAGTCTGATCAGGATCCATGCTGTTCGCTGTCAGTTTCTCTACAAGGGTGTGTAAGCAAATATTCATGGATCCTGATCAGACTATGCGCAGGCTGGTCTGGATCCATGTGTCGCAAAACCCATTATATTGGTTTTGTCATGACTCGGCTCATATGAATTATTTACGTTTTATTTCAATAATTCACCTTTTATTATGTCTAGTGGAAAGACGAAAGCATTAAATGGGATTAAAAATGACACGGACGTAGAATATGTAATGTTACCTTGGAGTGAAGTATGGACTCCCGTCCTTCGTGTTTCGAATCCACATTCCGAAATTAGCAAAAGCCAGAATGTTGACCGTTCCTATGTGAGTATTTATGTTAATTTATAAAAATTTAATATGATATAAGTTTTGGTTAACACACATGCCTTCTATCTCTTTTAAGTCTCTTAACACTGGTTCTTGTTGCTGGGTCGTATGGGGGTTGCGTTTATTGAACGCCGCTTTTCCTTGTTGATTTTTTTTATCATATTTCATATTTTAGATAGCAGCGATTTAAAAGCATTAATTACAGTTTAATTACACTTGACACTGGATAGCCCTTATTCCTTCTTAAAAGGGAAGCAAAAAAAAAAAAACAACAAAAAAACTAAACATTATTCTATGCGAATAAAGGAGTCAAATATGAAACGAAATGCAGCAATTTGCCAAGACCATTGCTTTTGAATTGAGAGAGTATCTACATGAAAAAAATCGAATCCGTCCAAAACGGCAAAATTGTGTAAGTTACCTCACAATTACCAAGAAAGGTGCAAGTAAACTTCATCATTACCATGATTTAATGTTGAATTTTGCTTAAGCCGGTGCTAGGGGGCGTGGACGGTAACTTTCATTTCAACATTTCCGTCAATGCACAGGCTTAATCAGCAACATTTACAATCTGTTGAGTCTGTCGTTCTTAAGGGATTCTTTATAACTCTCTTCCTTTACCGACAACGCCCCTTAGCAGCGGCTTAAGCAGAATGGTTATGATGAAATTTTGAATTTCGAAACAAGTGTTCATACGGCGTTTACAATGGAACCGTCAATGTGACTCAATCAAATAGTGTCTGCAATTTTCAAACAATTATGTTGTGATTAATGCTTCAGGGATCGCACTTGCTATATATTTTGTGTCGTGCGTTTTCAAAAATGAATTTGACATGAAGTCATAAATACTTTTAGATGTACATGTGACAACACGAGAACGTACGCGCGTAAAGACGGACAAGGGCAAACCTAAATTCACCCCTCGCCATAATGGGGGCAAACATATGTACGATATTGCACATGTTTACCTTTAACATGTATCTTATTCATGTCATTACATTAAATGGAAATATGCGAAATATATAACTGAGAGAAGGAAATGCAAATATTTCATGATAATATTATATATAATTTGTATTGGTAAGTGTAAAGTGTGTATAGTATAAATTGTTGGTATACACAGAAATGATGTATGAATCTTATGAAAAGAAGCGAGTCAAAGATACATTCAAAGTGTTATGATAATATTAACTAGGGAAGCCGGTACCAGGGGTCGTAGACGGTAATTTGGGCTTGAGAGTACTGTCCATGAATTGGCTAAATCAGACCGAGCCTACAACATTTTAACAGTTTCAATTGCCGTTTTTACGGTCTTTTGGGATTCCTATTTCTCTCAATTTTTTATATTTTTTATTTTCTTCAATTTTACTAGCAAGTGTGTAAAATAAAGAGAAATAAGACTCAAAAAGACAGTCAAAACGGCAATATTGTAAATAATGCAAACTCGGTTTGATTGTGCCTGTTTATATGCGTGTTTCATAAGCAGATCAAAATCAAAGTTAAATATAACCCATCTTGATGAAAACGGTTACCCCGTCTTATTTTCAAGGTGTTTAAATGGTCAATAGTTTGTCAAACAATAACTGATAGTTCTGTAAGTGTCAAATGAATGAACTATTTTGAAAAATATTATAACGAACAGTTGCACATCTGTTGAGACTCCAACATTTCTAAATTTATTTGAGCTTGGAAATTAGTTACTGTATCAAAAATGCTTTAAATCTTCTTAAAATCCTATAGAGGCAGATTGGTGACATTGCTACATTATGTATAATTGATAAAGAATGAGGTGTCGTTTTGGGCTTTCTTTCAGTTTTATTTTAATTGTTATTACGTTTTACATTTTCAGGAAACTGTTATATACAGCAACGAAGGACAGGCATATTTTCAGGAGCTGATGACAACTCGCACCACTTGCGACCTTGACATGACCTACTATCCATTTGATATACAGACGTGCCTAATAAAAATGTTTATCGTCGGACATCTTAAATTTCAATTCAGGATTGAAACTCGCATAGAAGATAACAAATTAATTGGCGACAAAAGTCATGGCTCATGGATATTAATCAATCGCACTGTTTTGTCTAATTATGGTACCATGACGATAAAGCTTATGTTTGAAAGAAGACCAGTGTTTCTACTGATTAATATATTTATGCCAATCATTGTTCTCGCATTACTTACACCAGTGGTATTTATTTTGCCGAAGAAATCTGGAGAGCGGGTTGGATATTCAATTACGATGCTACTTGCCATTTCAGTATATATGACCATTGTAAGCGAGCATTTGCCACACAACTCTCAGCCAATGCCTCTTATATCGGTTATGATTTTCATTTGTTATATGCTAGACGCCTTGATTGTTTTTGTAGTCATCATTAATACAAAGATAAATGCGATGAAAAATAGGGGACGCATACCGTATCTCTTTAGGAAATTTGTTCTTCTGACTCGAAAGCTTTTAGCTATATTGAAATGTGAGAAAATCCATACTAAGCCCAAGGATGATTCTATAGATGCACAGGACAAAGACTCTGGTAGTGAAACATTAATCGAGTTACAGAACAACATTGAACAATCTATTGATTTAAAAAGACCAAATGAAAAACACGACATCACGTGGCAAGATCTTAGCAATACAATTGACAAATGGTGTTTTGTGATAAGTTACTTATGCAAAATTTTGCTCCCTGTTATTTTCTTTTCAATATGTAAGACAAATAGTAGATAAAAACTGACTGATATAATATTGTTCTTGAAGAAAGCATACTATATTTTTTGGCTTAATTTTACGGGGGGTGGGGGGCACCAATCAGTTTTAATCATATGACGCCGACACTTGAAATATGATTTTGACTAACCTCGGGTGCTACGGACTTTTGGTCAAACCTACCACGCCTGCCGGAGCTAAGTGATACCTATACTCAGTAATTCGAACCCATCTGGTCGCCTTTAACGAACAGTTGCTGCGATTCTAATGCGTCATCCCCTCAACCACACGTTGCTAATATAAATTAGAATTAAACCGTACATACCACTTATATTGGAAGTCATGTAGAAAAAGGAGGAAATGAAGAATTAGATGTTTTAGCTAAACAATAATTAAATTTTCAAAAAACTGACTTATTGTTACCTGCTTCTGATTTCTGATCGGCTATAAATAAACTCGTATCATCTGAATGAAAAGCAAATTGGGACGGGACAATGCCGTTTTTAATAAACTTCACGATGTAAACCCATCTCTTGATGTGTTAGCATCTCTATCCCGGTCAAACCGCAATGATCAAACAGTTCTTCTTCGATGCCGAATTGGACACACTAAAATTACCCACTATTTATCTCATCACGAATGACAATGCCCCTTTCTGTGTAGCTTGTAATGAAAATTTTACTGTCAAGCATTTTCTTCTTGAATGTCATTTTTCACAGGCCCGTAATAGATTTTATTGTGTAAATTTACTCAAAGAACTCTTTAATACAATTCCATCAAAAAACATCCTTGATAATTTGAAAGAGATAAATTTGTATTCTAGGATCTAATTGGCTCATTTTTATTGTCATTTACAAAATTTTACATAACATTTTAAATTTAATATAGCATTCGGCACGATTTGGCCAGTTATGTGTTGACGTGCCGTAAAAATAAAAAAAAAATCCTTTATACAGTAGGGTTGGTTCTAAAGCTGTTACAAAATCATTTGGTCACCCCCTAAATAAGAAAGTATCTATATAAGATCGTGGTCTTTGCTCGCCGGTAAATTTATTTTAAATTTAAGTACTTCATTTTCCTTTTCTCAATATATACATAAAGTGTATGTTAACTTCTCTGCTTTCCTTGATCATTATTGTTGTAGGAACAAATCGCACTAAAGTTTGTTTCCAGATTTTAAGATATCATAGTGTTTAATTTGCCAATAATTTAAAATCATAGATGATAATTATGTATATTTGTTTAACAAAGAATGACTAAAGTTACATGGTTAGGGGCCAGTTACACAGACGGTCGGTCCCAAATCGGTCATTTAATTTTAAATTTACTCGCTGTTATGATCGGTTGTTATGCGTGATTTTTTTCTGGTTTTCTGTGTAAACGGCCATCGGTGACAGAAAGCAAACTCAAACGGGGTTGGGTCGATGATTAAAATGCTGAAATACTATCGGTTTTCATCGTTTGTAAATCGGAGCTAAATCTGGCCTAACGCTGATTAATCGGTGTTTGATAGCTAGTCATCACTGGTTAAACACTTTCCGTCAGATATGGCCGGTGATTCATATTTGGTTATCTTTGTCCGATCGGCGATATCGGTGATAAAGAGCTTGCATATAGGTTGCTGTCGGTTATTTGTAAAATATTTTCACCGATTGAGAATTTTAACCATGTTTAAAATTCCCAATCGGTAATTTTTCACCGATGCAACTTATTTTTCCCCAATAGCAGTTGATAGGTGGAAAACAGGTGACCAATAGGTGATATCGGTGTTAAATACGTTGTCATCGGTTCACTACATAATTTGGCTAAAAAAACTACCGATGGCTCTGTGTAACTGGTGTGTTAGACAAGGATTTTGATGATTTATTTTATGTATAACTTTGAACTGTATGGCTTATTTTGTTATTAAAGGTTTTATAATAAAAAGTGTGATTATCTTTATACAGAATTAATGTAAACTTGTGTTTTCCCCTGATCTTATGTAAAAGGAATATTCACCCTGTTGTCCGACGGAAATATTCCCATTAAGTATATTCCTCTTCTCGAAGTTCAGACCATAGAGGTTCTCGCAAAGTTGATTTTGTTTCATAAACATGCATATATAGGTCAGTTGATGGTACTATTTCAGCATTATCCCTTGTCAAAAGTGTGGTAGAAAAATCTTTGACTCGCGCCTGTTTTAAAGATTTTGCATAATGGTCAAAAATTCCATGCATTTTTTGATATTGTGATTAGGTTTGCAAGCAGCCCTTCTTTACTAAAAAAATAATACAAAATTACAAAATGGTTTAGTGTTATTTTGTATTTGTACATAAATATTATCAGTTTGTGCCAACAAAAACTTAAAACATGCATTTATTTAAAAAATCTCAATTGTATCAATGCATGTAAGTTATTTTCTTTATAGCAGTATATATATAACACATGGGGTTGTGGGTAACAATAAAAATATCGTCCCGAGGAAAATACTGTTACCCGAGGCGTAGTATTTTATTTCAATGGATGATATTTTTACTGTTATTCACGAACCCATATGTTATTTATTTTATTACCCCGAACAAATACTGTGATGATCTGAAATTGTCAACTTAATCTTACTGTAACAAAAATAATCAAAGAGTAACAATAACTAAACGGTCTTTACCTTTTAAGTTTTAAGTATACTATAGGCTTACTTGAGAAGGGTTTTCTTTTATTCTTCAAGCAAGTGATGATACATGTATCTACCAGTCATAAACATACAATAAGCCTTGCTTTATTTAGAAAACAAAACACTAACCCATTTATACGGTTATGATCTGTGAAATATGATCCTTCTGTATCCAGAATACTCTCAGACCATGGAGTTCTCCGAGAAAGACAGACCTGCTACATGTACGTACAATACAGGAGGTGTATTAGTAAAAATTATTGTTACACATTCTAAACATTAAAAATTAAAAAAATAATAAAAATTACTTTTCATTACATTCTTATGAGGAAAGAAATGTAACAAACGAATTTAAACAAAACAGACAAAGACAGAAGAACGAGAAAATCTGGGCCACTGTTTTTGACTGCATCTGTGTGTTTTTTCAAAGGTTCATTCCTAGTTATTTTGTTCAACACGTTTGTCATTTTTATACATGTCGTTTCAATTTACCAAAGGCAACAAACTGTTGACTTAGTTCACATTATATCTCGCCGAAATAACAAATGAACTACAATATGATAAACAAGATCAACAAGGAAAAGCGGCGTTCCATGAACGCAGCCCCCACACGATACAGCAACAAGAGCCAGTCCCGTTTATAGTTCCGTTTCGTTGGTAGTAACCAACTTATACAATAAAGCGTGTAACGGCATTGTATGAGTATGTCGAATGTACAACAAATTTGTCATTTATTTCTATATGACAAAAACATCCTGTTTGACAAAATAACTTTAATGGGAAATAACTATTACTTCATTAATAAATATCCAATAACACTATTATCTGCACTTGTAATATAGTTGAAATGTGAGAAAAAATTGATGTAAAATGTTAAGAGGTGAGTGAGCTTAATAACACTAGTTACAATATCAGTTATTTCAGCAAGTATATAATATAATGTAAAAAAAAGTTCGTACCTTTCTATATTTAACTGCCTTTAGACATTCTCATTCCTTACAAGTGAATCAATTTAAAAAAATAAGAACACAATATCGTCAAACGAAAAACAATTGCTATCTGTCCAGATCATAACCTTTTAAACAACTGCATGCTTTGCAGAGATTTTTGTTAAATTCTGTATTATTCGATAAGCAGAAAAACGAGGTTATCCAGAATTACATGTACTTTTGTTGTAACATTTAAACAACAACGTTTACGGTTAATATACTTTAATTGTTTCTATAAAAGTTTATGATTGATTTTGAATATAAAAATAAAATTTGAATAAATGCAGATTCTATTATGATTTAAGCATGCATATAGGCGATCTATGGAGTACGCTGGCATAACTAATTTTAAAGTAAGTTTTCGTATTTATAGAGCGTATATTTATTGAACGAGTTGAAAAAATAATTTGAAGCGAGTCTCTGGCGAGCAAACTATTGTTTAATTCAACGATTTCAATAAAATCAGTATTGCATCAAAACGGATTAAATTAATCACATACTTCTATTCAAAATAAACAGTAAAAACAGTATTTTTTACCGCACTTTAACGTATATAACGCTAGTGAAATGTCTTTTATATATTATAGCATAAAATCGGCTATTTTCCCCTCTTTTGCCCATGTTATAACGGGACCAAAACCATGTGTTAACATAGTCACGCGCTCTTGTTATAGCCCGGTTTTACCTATGTGCAATACATATAGGGCCCAGTAAACAAACTAAATTTGACAGTTTGGCCTGTTTGCCAAAGAGTCATGCGCTCTTGTTATATTGAAATTATTAATTCGTGGGCCTCAGCCGCATAAAACGGCGAGCAGCATTCAAGTAACTATGCCAGAAATACGGCGTATAGACCTCGCCGCTAATCTTAGTTGTCGCCCTTTCTAAGAAACGGACAGTTGTCAATGTAAACAATTAAATATCTGTCATTCAGTTAAACCCTCCTATTAACTTACAAAACAAGATAACACAAAATGAATATGAGAAAATGTTGTTTTATTGATGTTCATATTTATAAATGCTCTTTATATTTCTTTCAAAGAATAATGTTTAGTGCCTGATTTTTTTTATAAACTTGTGTGCTTGAAAAAAAAACCGATTCTGATGTCATTGATCGTTTTTCAACCAACAATCTGAAATCATTCTAGGAATTTCTGAGAGTCATGTTTTGTCTTGTGTAGAGTAATTTAATGTTTTTTCTGGAGTTAATATATCTCCAATGTTAAGCTTTGTTAAATCAATTTAAATTGGAAATTTCGATCTGTTCTGAGCATTTGTATTCCCAAGTTGTTGGCCCCGGAAAAATAAAACGCATACGTAAAACATGTAGAGTTGGATAAATACCGTCCAAGCACAAGGATTTAATGTATGTGCTTTGTATTAAATATGCTTCAGGAATCTGTTTTAAAATTTTATGCTATAATAGCGTCAACGCACTTTATTTTGTGTTATAAAGTCTGCAGAGTCCCTCGGAACTGTTGGAGCCCTCGCCCTACCGGGCTCGGGCACCAACCGTTCCTCGGGACTCTGCAGACGTTATAACACGGAAAAACGTGCGTTAACCCTATAAAATCAGCCGCGTCACGACAAAACCAACATAATGGGTTTGCGACCAGCATGGGTCCAGACCAGCCTGCGCATCCGTGCAGTCTGATCAGGATCCATGCTGTTCCTACTTGTCATAGGGTTTGCAAGCGAACAGCATGGATCCTGATCAGAATGCGCGGATGCGAAGGCTGGTCTGGATCCATGCTGGTCGCAAACGCACTATCTTGGATTTGTCGTGACACGGCTCAAATGGCTTGATAACATGCCCGCGCCTTGGTATATGTAAATTAAATATATCTCGATCTTACATACAAAAAAACAAACAAATATCTTCTATTTAATAGAACAGATATAACACTGGTAATGCAAACTGTCGATAAATCAAAGCACTGAATGTACTGATGGGGAGGCTATGACAGAATGTTTCAGACTTATAGTTTCTTTTCTTTTTGCTTAAAATGTGTTGTTATTTCAATTATTACCAAAATAAGAAGATATGCACATTGTGTCATTTATCCTTACTGTTGTGTTCAACCATTCATATATATGGTTAATATGGTTGACTATTCATTTTGTTAATATTCCAGAACATTTCATTGAGGTCTACATTCGGACTGCTAATCCTGCAAATTTTGAAAAACCTAAACTGTCAATAATAAATGACATACCAGAAAGTATGACGACTGTTCATTATAAGATAACAATAACATTTTACAACTGACTGTTCCTTATCAAAATATTCTAGGACTGTTCATCATAAATACTTTATGCCATTTTAATATCATTGAATGATAATAACAACTGCAAGTTATGCAACATTTTTATTGAACATAAAAATTATACATATTTACATGTCATGTACCATAATTGAGATCAATAAGATACTGTCTTGTGATGAGTATTAATATCCATGCTCTACGGACAGAAAGATGTCTTCTTCCGAAGCAAATCTGTTCAGAAAATTATTCCCATTTCATTACTCGTCGCTGACTTTGACGGCTTCGGATATTTATTAAAACTAAATATTTCTTGAAAAAATACATATCTGCAAAGCTTATTCAAAATTGAATCAACCTAAGTGAAAATTGATCAGGAAGTTATATCTTCTTCTTTTACCGCCAACACTCAACCAACTTATGGTAGTTAATATATAGATTCAACATGTATTTTTTAAACCTCACTAGCTTGAAATATAACTGCGGAAAATCTATTGTTAACAGGGTGTGCTGTTATTACGTAGGGTTTTCCCTGTCGACCATTTCCCGCAAATAGATGAGAACATCGAAGCGTCAGTGCTATGAATGATGTTATAATTGATAAATAGCGTGTTTCGGAAGTTTTTTGTTGAAACTTCTCCAAATCCCTCCAGAGGCGTGCACGTCGCGGAGAAGGCACACGGCAGGTCAAGGTCAAGTCATCTCAAGTACCAGAGGTGATTGGTTGACCTGTCGTGACTTACTCTGGAGGTTTGGCGCTAATGAATGCCGTTTTTGTTGTCGTCAGTCAGGAAGTTGATGCCTTGCCAGTATTGTCGTCACCTTTACCACCAACGAACGAAGAATGGGCTATCAGGAAGATTCGGCTTGAAAAAGACGTCCCCGATGCTATAATCTCGGACATACATGTATGGTTATTCCGGCCCCGAGTATAAATAAACTTAAAACACACACACTTTTGTTGAAAACAAAACAAAAAAAACAACAACAACACATTTTCTGTAGTATTTTTTCAAGTGTTGTAAAATGAATACGAAA